TTCTCATCTTTGCTTTCAAGGGTGGATAGTTTGATGTGAATTCTGTCATCATAGCCTAAGTCAATCACTTCCTCTCTGTATCCCCCAATATTTGCTACACTTTATTTTGTCATAGTTTTGTCCCCATTCAAGAAACACTTTCTAATTTTAATTCTGGGTTCTTCCTTGTCCACTGGACTTCTTATTAGGGCATTTGTCACATGTCCTCAGATTCCCTTGATCTCACACTGAACAACTCACCACCATGGAGCCACCTCTACAGCTGTCCGATCCCCTGATGCCATGGGTTACTGTCTGCAGCCCCGGTGCAGAGACTCAGCTTCTCCGGGCACTTCCACATTCAATGGTGTGGTGTTCACTCTTACCAGGGCAAATGAAGATCCTCTGAAGTTCAGGGAGCACATTGTGTGTGTGTGTATGTGTGTGTGTGTGTGTGTGTGTGTGTGTGTGTGTGTTTCAGCCTTGGGACTGAAGCTAGGTCCTTCATGCTGAGCTCACTGAGCTACATCTCTCACCCTTTTGTTTTTTAAACTTATTGTTTTTAGACTTGATCTCTCTAGTCCCTCAGTTGCTCTGATGGGGCTCAAACTCAGGATCCTCCTGTGTCAGCCTCTCAGAGTACTGGGCTTACAGGTTTGTCCCACCATACTTGAGTTTTGCCATCGATTTTTAACTATGGAAGTCAAGAACCAGGGCCAGGCAGCATGCAGAAAATATTTTTGTACGTTCTGACTTTTGTATAACCAATGTCTGTGTGGTTGAGAAGCAGAGAGCAATAATTTTCAGATCTAGAACTTCAACTCCAAATGATTCACACTTCTCTATTGACATTTCCAAATTTGAATATTACCTTCAATATGCTTAGTATGGTTATTTTAAATCCTGAAATTTATTCAAATCCATCATTGTACATCATGAGTTTTCTATATTTTTATTATTATTTGTTTTATTATTTCTGTGGTTTCCACACAGTTATCTTGAGTCTTTTTGTTCCTGGTTATTTTATTGAGTTGGATACATGCTTTATGAAAAATTAGTTTCATAATTGGAGGACTGAGATGATATGATCGTCCTCAGAGACAGATTGCATTTGCGTATGGCATATAGATTGGGGAAGTAGCAATATGGGATCATTCTGATCATCCTCATAGAACTGAGACAATGTGAAGAGAAGCTGTCCTCTGATGTGAAGGGAATCCTAGGGCTGCAGGGCCTAATAACCACAAGCACTGGTGGTCGGTGTGGCCTCGGGTCATCTTTCTCCTTAGGATCCAAACTCTAACTGTTTCCTGTTAACCTAAGGAGGTTGTCAAAGCTCTGCCTGACTCCTCATCCATTCATGTGTTTCATCTGGAATTGGCAAATTGTGTAAAATAAAGTCACCCTAAATTTCAAATTCACCTCTCCAAATGTCCTTTTTTCCTCCATCATGAATAATTCTTGAATATTTTTATCAGTGTCTAATATTTTAAGGATTTTTAAAAGTACATTTTCCAGACCTCCTAGACTTTCTCACTGGGAGAATTGATCTATGGAAACTATTTCATCATTACTGGAAACAGATGTCTCACATATAGAATTTTTAATGAATATAGTAGTAAATTGTCTTAGGTAATATTCATAATATAATTCAGAATCACCAAGTACACTTACACTTTAAATACACTAACAATTATAGGACAATAAATGCCTGTAATCTCTGTTTTTATGTCAGGGGTAGAGCTATAGTTCTAAAAGGTAGTAAGCTAAACCCGGACAATTTTTTAAAAGAGTATAAAAAATACATGGTATAATTTTCCATTTTTCCTTCTGAAATATTTTATACTGTTGACTTACTAAAATCATTTTGGGACTTATATAGAGTATTCTATTCAATGAAACTAAATTATACAGAGTATTGGTGCATATCCTATTTCTTATGTTTACCTGTGGATTCACTAATTGAACTTACACAAGCACTACTGGTTTCTAATGAGGCTTTTAATTCTTTTCTAACAAACTTGAGCATAATTTTGTATAAGTATTGTGTCAGTAATAGCAAAGGAAAATGCATTTTATACAGTATTTTCATCAAAGAAAATAATTTTGAGGGATTACATGTGGATAACATATTTCAAATTGCACTGTGCACAGCCAAAAATGTGCAGGGACAGAAAGCAAGAAAGAGGAAGAGTATGAGAACGTCCAGTCTGAGCCCGGCAGCTTCTGTCATCAGGATCAGAGAGCTGCATAACCTAGCGAGCCACCCTGACATGGCTTCCTACATGCTGGGCCCTGAAGGCAAAGGTGAGCTAAGACACAGAACACCACCAGGCAGCACAGCAGCACTTGCCGATTGTTCAGGACAGGAGCTACACTGGAAATGGGAACTTGCAAACTCCCTCACTCTTCACTAGGTTTTCTATGCACATGGCTTCTGGAACCAGCCTTTCCCTTTGTCCAGATCTGTTCTCAGTAAACCACCTGCTCATTATTCACTTCATTTCCCAGTTGCTATTCCTGTAGTCAGAAGTAGGAGAGACTGGACAGGAAAATCTCTTCTGGTTGTGTTTCTTCTCCTGGAAGAGGAAGTTGTTACAGAGCCCCTGTGTGGGCGCTGGTCCATGGGCTTTGAGTGTGGAAGAAGAGGACGAGAGGGACATTCCATTGAAGAAAAGGAAGAGAGTGTGCAAGCGTCACAAAATGGACCAGCACACAACCCAAGCCTTGTGGTACTCAGGGAAACAAGAAAATTCAGAAGTGCCAGGTGGCAGGGCAGGAAACAGACACCAGGGCTTGGTGCCAACCCAAAGGGCTGGGAGTGCAGAAAGGTTTCAGTGTCAGGGTCTGTGAGGAACCGGAAATGAGGCCGGGGGAGTCCAGGAAACTGACATGGGCAAAACTTACTCCAATAGGATTCTGGACAATAAGTTGAGGCCTCCAAGGAGACTCCAAGTGAATGAGGCCGATTTTAATTAGTTTGCTTCCTGGCTTCTGATTACGATTTCTTTAGTTTACTGACAGGATCAATTCCAGTGACTATGAATCCCAGAATTTTCCTTTACCTCACATATTCATCAGCATTATCTCTGGTATTTAGTATAGTTTCCTTTGCACTTCTACATTGCATTTGAATGTATGCAGATCTAATGCAACCTCACTAACAGTGTTAAAATACAACAAAACACGAGAAAGTATTTGCTGCATCATTCAAAGTA